TAATAATTATATAATTTTTAAAAATGTCGTATTAATCAACATATTCTTCAAATCATATGAGACATCAACATATTCACTATCCATTCGCAGCCAATCACAGGGTATGAAAATCACATTGAACCGTGCTGTTTACGCAAGAGGATTTGTTGAAAAAAAAAAAAAATAATAATAATGAAAAACAAAAAAAAAAAAAACCTTTACGAAATTTTATCACAACATATCAATTTTTTTAGTGGAACACAAAACAAAAGAGCTGCGATCTAGAGTTTGGTGTTTCATGAACTATGTCAGCCATTGAATAGAATTTCAGCAAAAAGCCGAACGGGAAATAATTGCATAAATATTTCAAATTAAATGAAAATACAAACAGACCACAAAATGCATTAGCAAAAAATCAAATAAATAAATGAATACCTAAAGCGATTTATAATTAAGTTTTTTGTTCAACTTAATTCAATTCGAGTTAGCAGAAAAGTTGAAAAGGAAAGTGATTTAAAATTGAAAGCAAGCGAGCGCAATGACAACGAGACGGCAATTAAAAGAAAGAACAACAAGGCAAACAAACCAAAGACAATGGGGAGATGCAACAAGTGGCCGTAAACAAAAGGCGTAAAATGAGTAAATGCTAACGGAAGAGCTGCTGCAAGGACAAAAGCGAGCAGTCGAGTCGGAGGCAGAGGCAGAGGCAGACAATGCCGAAGAAAGAACACATGGCGTATACGTTATAAAAGCCAAGCACAGCTCAATTGTAATATTCAACAAAATGCTTGCCTTCCTCCCTCCCTCGCCCATACTCTCTCTCTCTCGCTCCCTCTCTTTTCTCCCTCTCTCTTATTTCTTCCTTTCCACTTTTCGTTTCTCACTTGCCCAGCATTATGCGCTCTGCCAGTTTAAAAACTCAATAAAAGTTGCCCTATGAAAAATTACTTAATGAAATTAAGTGTGATAAGTGTGAGTGCTGGGCTGGGCACTGAGCACAGCGGGTAAAATCAAGAAAAGCTCCAGAAGAAGCATAAAAAGTAGCGCCTCGGCACACACACACACACAGCACTCGACACTCACTCACTCGAGCCCGTTGAGTGCGAAGGGAGGCTGTAAATAATAATAAAGACATGACTTATTGGTTCGACTGGAGCAGCAGCACAGCACAGAGAACCACAGACAGAGCGAACAGCCGCAGCCGCAGTCGCCGTCGAAGCCGCAGTCGCAGCCACAGCGAAAAGTAATTCCTATTAACAGCTTAGCCGCTTTACAGCAAGTGGATTTTGATTGGACAATCCGTCCTACACGACAGCTGAACACATACATACATTCACACACACACACACATACATACATTGAAACCCAAACGAAGAGAGTGCGTGGAAATAAATGGAAAATTTATAAAATGAGAATTTTTCTTATTGCCTTCACTAAGATTATTTGCTGTATATGTATCTGTTTTCCTTTTCATTTTTATTTTAATTATAGTTTTATTGATTAAATTCTTTCAGAGTTACAACATTGTCAGAGCGAAATATGAAATTGTTCTTGGTGCAATTGACAATTTGCCGCCTCAAGCAATGATTTATTTTATATACTTGTTAGACTATTAAATATTTTATATTTTGAAAACCCATAAATACGATTGACGTTGGCATATTGAGACTTAAAGCTAAGCAAAATAACTCAAACAGTCAATGCAAGCGATATTCAGATTCACCTACACATGCACACACTCAATTCA